TCCGCAGCACCCCTACGATGGCCGTGCTAACGCTACGACAAAATACAAAACATGATTCAATTTGTAAAAAAATAAAACGAACAAGATAGAACCCACCTCATTTTCACCCAACCTCAAATCAAATGAATTTATTTTCCTAGCCCATCCCATCCGGTAAACAATTAATTAACCTATATCTCGCATGCTAACCAACCCCTGTTTCACTGTCCCCACACATGAATCGCATGTTAGCTTCCTTCTTTTTCGGAGTGACGTGCTGATCAAAGAATGGTTCAACAACAAAGTTATAGGGATTGAAGCACATGGCTCAGCAACAAAATTACAGAGATCAAAGTACATGATCCAGCAACAAAATTTTAAGGATCAAAGCATATGATTTGCACTACTTGAACCACCTACACTAAATCTGCCCATTTCTCCTCTCTAATGTAGTACAGTGCTTCTGCCTTCTCATGAAATTCAGACTCCACCTACTTTCTCTGAACACACAAGTCTGCTGACATATCAGGTCCACTACTCTATCAAACTATCACTGTTTTGATCACTTGCTGCATACGGTAAAATACAAAACAAGATAATATTTGTAAAGACAAGTAATTTTGACTAATTTATTTGCAATAAGAGAATCATGAAAAAGTAGCTTAATGATACAACATACTCCTGTAGCATAATGACAACCGCAATACATGGCAATCTCGCAGGACAATTCTTGTTCTAAGTGTGATAATACAAGACGGTCAGCATTTGTTTGCTAAATATATCAAGATTGCTGAACGAATTTCATTTTTTTAAAGATGAGAACTTTATCTAGTCCCCACTAAACCAATCTAATCACATATGTACATTATCAAAAAACTGAACTGCTTGTCATCTTCCTATTTTTGCCAGTAAAATTATCTGAGCTTCATATGTATAACCTGGACTCAACATGGCCATGCCAAGACATAAAAAGTTACCTTAGTTACAATATCATTATATTAAGCACAATAACATGGCAACTGGTTGTGCTCAGCATCAAGCATCAGTGTATCAATGCCAACCATTGACTCATCCTGTAGAGTTTACAAATGTAAGCTATGACAATAAAATTGCAACAATTCAGGGCAAGTTCAGTTTATTACCTGCAGAAAAGTTCTTGCATTCCCTGTTTTTCAAGGTTTAACTTCAGTGAGAAATCATCATTCTTTTCCTTGCCTGCCTACACCAGATTGTTCAAAAATAAACAAAGATCAATCCACAAACATTTTGTAGTGCAGAGATAACCTTGTGACCTGGCTTGGTGTTGCTGTTATGGGGACACCAATTCAGCGAGCGAGTTCTGGAGGTGTCATACATCTGAATACCATCTAGTGTAATAAAAAAAATAGCAAGCCAAAAATTCAGTGGCCATAAACAAAGTTGACAAGAGAAAAGTATCTAATATATTTCACCAGTAAAGTATCTAACATTGGTACACCAAGCTCATGATTTGAGACTGTCAGTAAATAAATAAGGCTCAAGCTACTTGAAATGAGATTGGTACAGACAAATGGCTAACTATGCTAAAAAAACAATGGCATCCAATGTGCATGAACACAATATCGAAAAAATTATATGATTTCAAGGATAACTTTGATGCCTAACTATGCTATAAAAACTGGCTAAGCTAATTAGAAGTACCCACTGGACGCAAGAAAATGCTAGCATTAAAGAGCCTCTATTCAGAACCAGGGATAGGCTTCGGTTACATTTATTTCTAATAGCTACGATAACATTTTGGATAACACAAATTAAACAACTAAAATGGTGTAATCATTGGAAAATAGTAGAACAGAAGACGGGGAAGTAGAGTAACAGAGAAACATTTGAAGTTCTTTCGCACATTAAGTTCAAAGTGAATTATATAAAATTTGAAGTAGACATGTGCGACACACACATGCCTAATATTTCATATGCCATGGAAGAATAACTACTGTTTTTCTTGCGTTAAAATATACAAACAACTTGTAGTAGGATAGCAGCCAATAAAAATTCAAAAAGTCGACATGAATTGCCTTTAAAAAGGTTCACAATATAATCATAATGTTATACAAAAAGAATAAATTTTCTAAAGTATTGAACCATGACTTGAATATATACAAGTGCATCTTGAACTATATTTCAACCTTAATGAGCTCATTTAAAACAGAGGAACAGAAACAATTTTGAACGTCCGAGATTTCAGGCAAAGATACAATTATTCTTGAGATTAATACACTGTGCAGCTATTTGTTGATGGCTCAATCCTGCATTGTTAACAAACAATAATCTGAGTATTGTTTCTTTTCAATTTATTTTTGAAGTAAAAGAGATTGGTTGCACCTTAAATTGTATGGAGATCATAGCTGATGCAATCTTCACCATCTTTTCGGTTGAAATAAATTTGATAGTATTTCTAGAGAGGAATAGCCCCTGAAATTTTTTTAAAAATCAAAACATTTGGAGGGAGGATTGTTGAAAGTGAGATGAAGATGAGCACATACTAAGAAAAATGATAACTCAGCTAACAAAAAAGCATAACAATTCTAGGTTTTATGCACAACTAACGTGTTAATAATGAGTGTTAATAATGATACGAAGTTCTCTCCAAATATGTGTTTTCTATTCAATTGGGCAACACCAAAGTATTTTTCAATCAGCACTAAACTGGAAACTGAGGTTATCATCATACATGGAAAATAGAATTGAAAATAGAAGTATGTATGATAGTCATGCACTCTATGATGCGGGTTCAGTACACCTCAGACTGACCAAACAACAGAAATAGCTATGATATCTCATGGCTAGCTATCTCATGACTAATCAGCTACATAGTATGTACTTTTTTTAAAAAATTTTATCCTTTGTCATTAGCTATATGATGTCCATATTGAGATGTCCATCAGTTAGGAGGGTTAGTGCAGAGTGCAAAGATGCAACCTGCTGAAAATTTTATGTAGTAGAAGAATGACATAATGAAGAGAAGTAATAAGATGTGAGGAAACACATACAACAAGGCAAAACCAAACAATGGCATCCTAATATGTGCTCGCATGGGAGATGCTCGCCGCCGCCTGGATCTGCCGGTCGCCGGATCCACGCCCTCCGCCACCGGCCGCTCGGAGGTTGGGGGAGGCGGCGTCGTGGACACCACCACCTGATTTGACACCACCACCGCCGCCACCTGCGAGAGAGAGGGTGAGAGAGGTACTGAGAGAAGAAAGACAGAGAGGGAGAGAGACATACCGCAGCGAGGATCCGTACCGCCGAGAGTAGCCGCCCGCTCGCCGCCAGGATCCGGGCACGTCCAACCTCCTCCTCCCTAGATCCAGGCACGACCGGACTCCTACTGGCCAGATCCTGGCGCGGCGGCCAGCCTCCTCGCCGGATCTGGGCGCCGGGAGATGGGGTGCTGTTGGTGGCGTGTGGATGGAGGTGCTGGGAGACGGAGAGGGAGCAATGGCGTGTGGCCGGACTCCTCGCCGGATCTGGGAGCCTAGAGAGGCGGCGATGTCGATGGCTGGTGGAGAGAGGGAGTCGCGAGGGAGGGGCGGGCTCGAGACGAGAACAGGCGTTGTGGGAAGCGGTTTTGGGCAAGGGGGGGGCGCGGTGATTGCGACGCTTTACTGCACGCGGACGGGAGGCGGGTATCGCACGGGAGGCGGAGCGAAGACGACCTAAAAAAAGTCGCACGATAAAAAATAGTCTTACTTTGTTCTTTTTAGTTGTAGGAGATAGATGTGCGGCCTATGGAAACTACTCCTGTACTAGATGGTTTGATAAAGTCGCCCAAACACCGTCAGACTTATGCCTTGGCAGATGTTGAACCCTGTGAACTCGAACGGTCCGAGACCCTATCCCGATAGAGCCAATCAGCTACATGTTACATGTTCCTACCGTAAGTGTTAACCCTTAGTCTCTACTATGTTCTTGCTTATGTTGAGTATGGTGCTCACCCTCGAGGGCACACTTTTGAGTTTTTTTGTGTTTGACACATCTTCAAGTCAGCACATACCTTCCATCGTCACAAACCAGGAATCAGATCACCCTTATTAGTTATTACACGAGAAGTTTCACACTCAACTATACAGGAAACGTTCATATGACTAGCAAACATAGAAAAATCAATCTGTTGCAATGTACGCCGCCGCACGGCTTAGCAGTCCCTTGATCATGTTACGAGCGATGAACCTATTGGCAGCCTCGGTGAAGTGGATGCCGTCCCAGGAGACGAACTTGGACGGGTCGGCGCACGTCGTCGACGCCGGCGTGCCGCAGAACGCGACGAAGTTGAAGTTGTTGGGTCCACCGCCGCCCCCGCAGCACGCGGCCAGCGGCGTGTCGCCGAAACCGTACAGGGCGGGGGACGCGATGGCCTTGAGCACGGGGCGGTAGACGTCGGCGTAGAGGAGGGTGAGGGACCTGCCGTAGCTGCTCCGGAGCTCCCTGAGCATCATCCGCAGCATGTGGTTGTGGTGCTCGGCGAGCACGTTGAACCGCGTGATGCAGCTGGTGGTAGGGTCGTAGTCGCCCGGACCGCCTGGGAACAGCGCCAGCTGCTGCGGCTCGCAGCCGATTGGCAGCATCCCCGTGACCACCAACGTCCTCGCCCCGGCAGCGATCATGGCGGCCTGCGCCGCAGCAGGTTTATTAACAGATGAGGAGAGCAATTTTAATTTGTGCCGGGAGCGTTGGATCACCGCCAACGGATGCTTACTGTCAGGGGCCGAACGGATGGTGTCGATGATGTGTGGCACCAGGCTCACCGCCAGGTCGACGGAGTTGTTGCTTAGGGCGACGAAGTAGTCATTGACACCGATCTCGCCGACGTAGAAGACCGACTTTGCCATGATCTTACGCTGATCTGTGACACGAGTTTTATCTTAGATCGATGATCGATCCACTGACTGTGACTGATATATTGATCAGCTAAACGAGACTCTACGGGCTTTATATTAGTTAGTTTCCACAAGAAACAAATGCTAATTAGGAGTAGTTTTTACCGTAGTCTGATGCGTCGAGTAGCTGCAGAACGTTCTGAAACCAGCTCGTCTCATTAGCCAGAGAGATGGGCACGAACGGCTTTATCCCCTTGGTTGCTAAGAACGCCTGGTCGAGCGCCGTTGCACCACCCAGCGCGAAGTTGGCCCCGTTGACAAAGTCGGCGGCCGTCCTGCCGGCGAGGTACGGCGTCGGCTCTGGCACCTTCAGCTCCTCCACTGCATACATACACACACACACACCGAGGAAGTCGAGGATGAGCCTGCCGTTGGAAGCCCGGCCGGTGGGATAACCAAAGTAGGTCTCCCCGTAGGGCGGCTGGGTGGAAGCCCCCCTGCAGTCACCGGGAAGATGGCCCCGTTTCCCGTGTCAGTGAGCGAGTTGCCGAACGCGAACAAGCAGGTGTGCCGCCTGCGGTTGCCCCCATCGATATCCGTGTCCGCATAGGCGGGGGTTAGTGCGACGCCGAGAAGGATTCAGCCTGGTCGGTTGCGTGGTTCGTTTCGTCGTGGGTTCGTGAAGAAGTACTGCTGGCTGGTTTGTGTGAGAGAAAAATACTGTTTCGGTTGAAAATTTACGATCGTTTATGACAAGCCACAGCCAAACGAACATGCTATTATTAGCAGAAGCGGCACAGCCGGAACAAGACATGAGAACGGCGGCGCCATTGAGAACGAGAAGCGCGGGCAGTGTGGGATTGCTTGCTGATCTATTACTAGTATTTATTTGTGGTACTGGTAGTGGCATGTGCAGTGGGGTTTTATCAGAGTTTCATGTGCATTAAATAGGTTGATGTGACACCGTATTGATGAAGAGAGAGATGATAATAGTTTCATGGGAGTAGAGAGAGTTTTATGGAGATGAAACTCTTCTGCACTATTTCCAAAATATAGATGCATTAGTAACATGGCCATGAAATCCCCACTGATACTGACCTAATAATGAGAAGCACAAAAAAAAAATGACATGCTGCGTCCCAGTTGGTTGGAGCTAGTGGTTTGTTGGGCTGAAATTCCGTTGGGACGAGCAAACTAACCAAGTATTAATGGCGATGTTCCGTTTACGACCGGGGCAGATTTGGTGTGTGGAGCCTATCAACAACCCTCTTGCATGCATGGAGCTGAGGAAAAAAAAAGAAAAGAAAATTTGGAACTTCCCTCATTGTTCACATGGATGCATTATATTGTTCCTGGGTCCCATCTCCTTTGACATAGTACTCCCTCCTTCTAAGTTTCATAGGCGTACTAGCTTGGGAAAAGTTTTCAAGTTTTACAGGCGCACAGCTCCTGCATGCTGTTGAATGCCTCGTTTGCACTGCATGCGATTATCAAGCGTCTTCCGTATTCTCGACCGGCCGCTTGTTTCAGCAGTTGCATTGCATGGAAAGCGCTACAGATACAACCCGCTGCTCGCTTGTTTTTCTCTCTCACCAGCTGCACTAGCTTCCTCTCTCCTTGGCTCTCCCCAACAGACTACTTCTAGCTCTCGGCCATGGAAGAACTAGCACCGCCATGGAGGCGGCGTGCAGGTGTCGGCCACACTTCCTCTCCGCCATGCACTTCTCTCTGTAGAACGCTTAGCCCACCTCTGGTGGAGACACCTAGCCCTCGCCAAATGAAGAATGCGCCACCTCGCTTGTGTTCATTCGTGGCCTCAACTCTTCGTCACCTACATCAGTGATGATCTTCAACTAGGAAAGCAAAAGGAAAAGAGAAGTCGAGTAATGGGATATCATCTAAGTCTGCACAAACAAGTTGATTCAGAGTCACCATTTTCTACATCGTCCCACACTAAGTGGTAATCGAGCTCATGTGCAGGACCTTCCCACTCGTCGATGGCATCCCAATCGATCGGATTGCCATTGAGGTCCCAATCCGTCAGCGGTTCTTGGTTGAGATCAAATCCTAGTTGTGCCATGGATTAGAGAGAGGTGGGTGGTTGTGGTCTTTCTACCGGAGAGTTGACCTTAACCTATGCCAGATTTATTTAAATATATAGAGCCAAGATAGCTTCGAAATTTCGGGTGCAAATTGGCTTTTGGCGCGTGCTGTTGTATACGTAAAGCGCGGTGATTTTTGGTATTGAAATCGGCTTCAAATTTTGGCCAGCAAACAAACTACGCGGGGCGTGCGAGTTTGGCGCGCGGGCGTACAAGCATGAGGTTGGCGCGTATACGGCTGTATTTTTCGCGTAGAGGCGTCCGGGGCGTGGAAACCGAACCGTTGGCACTCAGGAGTTAATACGTGCCTTGGTCTCGATGAAAACTGCTTAGGCGCCTGTGAATCTTAGAAGAAGGGAGTATTATACAATTTCAAGTGGCCATTTAATTGGCTGCATGAGCAACACGGAAACAAGTTATGTCAGATGGAGCTAGTACAATAATTGCCTTAAAACCAAGCAAAGGCTAATATGGAGGAGAGAAGAGAAGCGGGAGGAGAGCTCTCGTGTAAAGCAACAACCTAGGCACAGAAGCATATGCAGTGATGAACTCTGAGTGTGAGAAGGATTAGGAAAGAGAAAGTAAGACATATGTAAAAGTAAAAAAAATGTTTATTGTAGGCAAATAAGAGACTATTATTGCATAGGTTGGCTTTTACAGCATGTCAATTTACTAATACATATCTCTGCAGGTACATCAGCTAGCTATTAGTACGGATAGGTCAGAAATGTCGCCATTGTGAATTTATGGACAAGTACTTATCTGACACAGTATATATGAAAAAGCAACTTGGGATTTTCTTTCTCGAATCACATTGAAGTTCAAGGTTACATATTGATATACCATTCTGTGTTCGGCAAATCTGATGGCTGATGTATACCCAAAAGCTGAGTAAACACATACTAGTAATTAGGTGTTACTAGAATTTATCTTATTCCTGAATCTTGACAATTTGCGGTTGATCAAACTTTTGCAATTGTGAACATCTGAAACTCTGAATGTTGGACTGTTAATATACATATACCCTTCTGTGTCAGACTATTTTTCACTATTTTTTGCACCTTCAGTTTTCAGAAAAAAAAATCAGGGCAGTTAGTAACTTTACGATTAGGTTCACATACTGTGTATGATTGATCATTCGATAATTAATGTTATTATAAAAATATGAGAGAATTGCAGGTATGGCCTGTCCGTTAGGTTTCTTTAATCTTGGTGGATATACTATTTTATATATTCTGTATGATTGATCATTCGGTAATCAGTGTTATTATAAAAATATGAGAGATTGCAGGTCTAATCTTGGTGGATATACAATTTTAAATATTTTGTATGACTGATCATTCGATAATAAATCTCTACAACTAAAAAAAATGTCAAGAGAAGACTACCGGGCAGCGTCGCCCCACTTCGCTGTGCTCGGCTTCGCACGATCTGTACGCGTGCCCCGATAAGCACCCGACGCTACCTAGCGCTCCCGACGCTACCTAGTGCTCCGTTTCCTAAAAAACTGGCACCAACAAATCAAGAAAATAGAAATTGGAATCAATCGTTCTCAATCATAGGCAATCTGAAATAACCGTGGACGTTTCCATTTTTTATCCCAAAAAATGGCGATCAGAAACAACCGCGTCAACCAATAAAAAAAAGAAACTAGAATCAGACCGGACACTCTGGTTTTCCCTCCTGTTTCCTTTCCTATTCGCGTCGACTCCTGGATTGTCTCCATTTCACGTCTGCCTCCCTCCCTTTCCTCACGTTGTCACGTTCCTTTCATAGTTTCAGACCCGCCTTCTTCGTACCTGACTAGAGATGGCAATCACACCCACAGGGTGCGGGCGCAACACTAGACCCATGAGGGTCTTCGGGTCGGGGCCGTAGTGGTGTCGGGTTGGTTGCGGGTATCATATTTCACCCGCGGGTGACCCGCTAGGCCTAAAATGTATGTTTCCCTCCTCTAATTGGAGGTCTAGAACTAATATTTGGCACAAGTCTGTGTAAGACTTAGTATAATTTGTATGGACTATGTTGTCTGTGTACTAGACTGGATTTTAGTTGTGAACTTCTTGTTCATTGGTGGTGATAACTTAATAAATATATGTTATTTCTCCCAAATTTTATATATTTTTCTTATCTGTTAGCTTCTTATTAACAAACCCGCTGATGACCCGAAACCCGTGGGGCGAGTGTGATATTGCAACCGTATGTCGCATTGAGGGTGGATTTTTACTCCACCCGCGCTAAACCGGATCCGTTGACATCCCTATACCCGACGTGAGCCAGGATAATCAATCTCAGCTCCATCACAACCACTCCAAAAGGCATGCGATGCGATTGCGATGGAGTGGCCGCCGGAACAATCAGGCTGTTTGGATGGCTGGTTCGTTTCGTTGCTGGTTCGTGAAGAAGTACTGTTGGCTGGTTTGTGTGAGAGAAAAATACTGTTCCGGCTGAAAATTTACGATCGTTTACGACAAACCACAGCCAAACGAACAGGCTGATGCGATGCGATGCGATGCGATGGAGTGGTTGCCGGAACAAAGTTGGCCGCCGGAACCGCTCCACGTTCTCCACGCCTGTCTCTTTCCAGATACATTGTCCATTTTGTTTCCTCCACGTTCTCCATTACCCGGCGGAGCTGGTGCGGATCAGCTACGGGGATGCACCATGCTGATGAATTAGTAATTTATTGATGTTGTTGCCCATGCACATCAGGACATCACTGCATGCTTACTGATGTTGTTGCCCATGCACATCAGGACATCACTGCATGCTGATGAATTAGTAATTTATTTATATTATTTATAAAATTGGCACAATGGTTTCATGATTTCTCACTTGTAATATACTTCTGCAGCTTGAAATTATAGGTTTACTACTCTGGATGTTGGTATTGAACTGCGCTACAGAGGGAGCAGTATTTCCATTATCTTCATTTAATGTTTCTCATCTTGTAGTATACTATTTTATTCTTACAAGTCACCAGATGACACCAAAAAACGCTATTCTTGCATGCTTAGAAATTGTCGTGAAGATTATTGTTTAGTTAACAGAGAAAACTTTTCATGTACTAGGAGTAACAGAGGAAACGGTCAATCCAGGTTGTTTAGGTAAAATATTACATTTGACGTACAGTAACTGAAATGGATCCAAGAAAAGTAACCAACGTCTCCCAATATTAGGAGTCCTTCCGTATGTTGCAAATAAAGGTAACTAATTATAAGTTTGTTTACTTGTGTATGCTTTAATATATAATCATTACTATATTTAGCACCAATCTAT